TATGGGTTCATAACGGAAGCTTTTGTCTTACCAAACTCTTACCCAGGAAGCAGCGAGGCTAACTGTGAAGAGTGTAGTTCATTCGGCGTCGGGGTCAGTCACCCATATGTTACGTGCTTGAGGCCTAGTCCCTATGTCCGAGGTACCCCGTCGAATCGATGGCCACCGCGACCAGGTTGTCCTAGAAGCAGTTCGTAACCCCTATACGACTCATCGCACGAGAAGTTTCCCAGAATTCATAAAATCGAACTCCGGACACCGTGGGGTTTCGTTGCAGTGCCCAATGTGATTAGCGTATCTGTTTCGGAGCTTCCCCATCACAGTGACCTCGTGTACTTGCAAACGATCCTCACTTTGTGTTTGATTTAGAACTATCTAACCAAATAAGAAAACTGAAAGTGATCGAATTGTTCCGCTTAGGGTAGAAGATGATCATCCCGTGTAACACTTGCTCTTTATCCCGACGCGGTTGCGGCCAGTAAATTTGTTGAACTCAGCTCACGGAAAAGCCTGATGAGGGGAGCAGGGTCAGTCACGCTATTCAGTAGGGATGGTACAACAAAAGACATGCAACAAACGATCGTCCGTTAGTGATGGTCAAAGTACCAGTCTCCAGTGCAGAATGTGTGATATCTGCCAAACCTTCAAATATGGCCGGATTCACGATTATTTGAAGATCAAACCCGGCGTGTTGCTTGCGTAATCCAGTTTTTTTATTGCACGGGTAATCCAAAATCACACATAGAACCTGATTGTGCCGTTACACTCGGTTCATTCAACTTAATCTAGACTGATCCATTTGATTACCTTTCACTTGTGATATCACTCGAACTTGGTCACATTTCTTTCGTGTCTTTCGTCTCCAAATAAGATTTCGTAGATCACTTTTCCCCCGCGTCGATATACTCGACCAAATGTTCACCTTTTTGCTTTATTCCTCGCCAAAACTCTCTAACCCCCCTCCCTAAAAAAAGATCCGTTCCACGTACCATGGTACCGGTTAAACCGTTGGGCGAGCGATTTCCAAGGGTTTGTTGCTGTGTCGCTTCAGGGAGATTACGTCGAATGGTGTATGAATTATCCTTCCAAACATTGCCTCGACCAGAGATGCGCCGTTCGGGACTTGGGATTTGGTGTTGCCCTGCATATTAGTAGGAAATTTTCCAGAACTTCTCCCGTGGCACCCACCCCTTTGGATTTTTAAAGTGCTCGCTTGAAGGTGTTCACGACGCGTTCGGATTGGCCGTTTGGCTGTAGGTGGTAAGGCGGCGCACGGACGTGCTAGACGGCAGTCAGTTTCCTTTTTTGTTGCGTCCGTGTCCTAAACTTTTGCCCCCATTAAGCTATTCGAACGTCTAACATAGCCTCTACTGAGGAAACCCTACTCACTGTCTTCCTGTGGCGGTGTTTTTCGACTAAGGTGAAAGGATGAAATGCCAACGTCCGAGACCATTGTTTATTTACAGATACGACGCCAAAGACGTTTTGAGACATGCGTGAATGTATAGGTCCATGGTTAGATTGCTGAAGTCATACTACTGGGTTATCCAGGCCTAAGTAGAGGGTTTTGTTAGGTGGGCCTATCCGGAGCCTTTGGTTAAAGAGCCTGATCCACAAAGCAGCGTCATTGAGTAGAGTGCTCACAATCCTTTAGAAGCCGATGACTGGCAGACCAATGCATACGCCTTTTGAATGTGGCTAACTATCCAGGGTGCCCAGATAGCCCTTGGGTCGCGCACTTGCCGGTGAGTGTCGTGATTGTCGACCCCTAGGCTTGGGACTGCTGTGAGCTCCTTCCGCCATCTGTGGGTGGTTTGAAATCAGAATTTTGGCCAACTCTCCTGGACTGACTTTCAGCGGTCAGTCACCCCAGTGGGAAGCGCCAGATATTTATCTTTTCCCTCTCACCGTATTTTTAACACATCTGCCATGAGAAGATGGTGGGTAGGACGTCCTCCGCTGAAGTTACTTGAGACGCTTGGTCGTTTGAGAGATTTTCTAGAAGATTTTGGAATGATTAGCAAATTCAGAGCCCGAACGCCCACTCCCGACCATACTGAGGCATTTGGAGGCATCCGAGACCATTACCGGGGTGACAGTTCACATAGGGGATTCGGCCAAAATTCTTGAATCCCAACCAACCAAGAGCAAGCGTGCGAACCACCACACCTTCCTGGTTGTGGCAGTGGTCACCGGCTT